TGCTATTTTATTTCTTGCATAAGGCTACCATTCTGCCTTCCGAGGTTAAGCTCTACCTCTATCTGCATATGCATTGCATAAGGCTACCATTCTGCCTTCCAATCTGCATAAGGCTACCATTCTGGCTTCCGAGGTTAAGCTCTACCTCTATCTGCATCTGCATTGCATAAGGCTACCATTCTGCCTTCCAATCTGCATAAGGCTACCATTCTGCCTTCCGAGGTTAAGCTCTACCTCTATCTGCATCTGCATTGCATAAGGCTACCATTCTGCCTTCCGAGACTAAACGCTGTCTCCATCCACATTGCACAGCTGAAAGATCGCCACATTGCAAGGCTAAAAGATCACCACATTGCACGGCCGAAAGATCGCCACATTGCACGGCTAAAAGATCGCCACATTGCACGGCTAAAAGATCGCCACATTGTACGGATGAAAGATTGCCACATTGCACGGCTGAAAGATCGCCACATTGCATGGCTGAAAGATCGCCACATTGCACGGCTGAAATATTGCCACATTGCACGACTGAAAGATCGCCACATTGCATGGCTGAAAGATCGCCACATTGCACGGCAGAAAGATCGCCACATTGCACGGCTGAAAGATCGTCACATTGTACGGCTGAATGATCGCCACATTGCACGACTGAAATATCGCCACATTGCACGGCTGAAAGATAGCCACATGCTACTGCATCCTTCATGGGCTGAAATATCGCCAACCCATCCAAAGGCGCCATCGTTCGGAGGAACCATCCTCATAGCCCAAGAACACTATGTCATGGCCTAAGGACCCCTTTGAATCTTTTTGCATATCATTATTCAAAGGCATCATGGTTCGGAGGCACCATCCTCGTAGCTCGAGAACACATTTCATGGCCTGCGAATCCTTTATTATACGCTCCATGCCCTAGGAAATCATGGTCTAAAGACTTTATCCTAACCATTCAAAGACAGCATTCATGGTCCAGCGGGAATTTGCATCATGTTTAAATTTACGCACAATATACGCTTGTATTGCTTATTTGCATGTATACCGGCAAGAAACAGCCATCCCGGCGGGAGCGGTTTCGCTCCAGTGCCCGCAGCCATATCAAACCTAACCGTTCCCGTAAGCCGTCCACTCATCCAGCCCTAGATATTGCGTCCGTTCTTGGAAAGTACCCGTCGGCATACTCCGCCGACGGATCCTGAAATACATATGGCCTGACTCCTGTATAACTAGGGATATGTAGGCAGCTCGGAAACCGGGGTGCGGCCTAAACCTCTTCAAAGCATTTTGCCCGGTCAAAATTGGCCATCATATCTTTACCCGAAAGCTCTTTCATCCTTCCCGGGTAAAGAGGGGCAGCTGTTGACACCCAATTTTTTCCTATATATTTTCAATATGCAAAATAACTTCAAAATGGCACATATATGCATATGTAAGCATATTCAAGTGTTTTATTATTTTTTCCATAATTTTTAAGGTTTTTCAAATCAATTTATTTCCCTTTTTTTTATCCATAAAACCCAATAATCATTTCCAAAATTATTATTTTTTGTAATTCATCTATTTGATTTTCATTTTTATGCCAAGATATAGCTAAGGTAATTTTTATAGGTTTTTACAATTTTTTTTTGTATTTTTAAAAGCTAATTGCACATAATTGCAATATTAGCCATTTTAAGATTTAATTGTGTTTTATATTCATAAAATTAAGTCCTGTATTTTTAATTTGTTAGTTATATGTTATAAATCATATTAGTGCTTTCAATTTATTTCCAGAAGTTAGTTTCCTATTTTTTTATAATTTTAAAAAAGGAAAATTGGCTATTTTTTTTGATAATCCACTAGGCATTGTGCCGAGGGCTGATTTTCATCAATATAAAATAAAGTACAACAAAAGTGGAAGGGGACATGAACCTTACCTCCACATGTAAGATGACTGTGCATTTGGTCAACCATATAAGGTAACCAAATGACACCTGAATACTAAGAAAGATCAGACCTATGAAGAAAGTTCCAATGTCTATCCAACAGTGATAGACAATTGGAGTTACAAAATACAAGTGTAGTAAGCCTAGGTCAGCTATACAAGATTGCACAAAATATCCTAAGACTGCTATACAATAAGAATGGAAGATATACTTCCATATACAACACAATCTACATCTATTGAGCATGTGGAAATGTCCTACTAGAGAAGGGATTCTGCCAAAAACAATGGTGAAGACTATCTTCCACTTTGCTTTGACACTGAAGACAAGGAAAGCCAAATGGAAGATAGTTTTCAAAAAGATGTCGTGAGGAGTTGCCTTGCTATGCTGTTGTCTACTGAACATGACAGAAGAAAGTGAGCAAACCGGCTGTCCCAATTCTGTTTCAATTTTCATGAAATCAGATATGGGTGTGATGACCTTAGTGTCTGTGGTTCTTGTCAGCTTCTGATCCTGTAACTGCTTCTGATGACTTGCCTTATGGGATAGCCTAAGTGAGGAGGCAATTCTTTGAGAGTGGAGCTTCTGATGTTGCTGGCTGAATGTGGGTGACAGCCTATGAATGGGTGCTGTTGAGTTTGAGTGTTGGTGGAGAGGCAGACTTGGTTCAATTGGTGCACCTTCAACAGAATGAGCAATTGGATTGCTGATACCACTAACTGAAGGTGCCACCTTTGATCCAGTCTGGTCCATGTACCTACAAGATGAACAAACATGTTAGAAAAGGGGGGCTCAGATACCAGGTTCTTGTGTGAACTGGATCTAAGTCTGGGGACAGGGGGGAAAATGTGACCCCTGATTTATGGGGGAGGACTGAGTGCAGGTTCTTGTGTGAGCTGGAAACAGTGAGGTGGGAGTAGGAGAAAATGGTGCTGCAGTTAGAGGTTTCTGCAGTATCTGCAGCTGTAGTTGTTGCTATCCTGATGATTGAACTGGGGATTTGGTTGAACAACTGAGTGGTGATGTTGTTGGCTTGATGATCCTTGACTGTCTCATGATATGTCTCCAAGAGAATGAGCACCATAGATGCTAATACCACTCTTGGAAGGCATTTCACTGGATAGGCTAGGGAAGAAGGAAGTAAACCTGCAAAATAAAAAACAGAGTTAGATGAAAACAGAGCATTGCTGCTCAGTTTTTGAAATCTGTCACTTGTGAGGGGTTCACTGGAGTTGGTATGGAGTTGATTTGGATTCCACAAATTCACTCCTAGGTTCTTGTGGGTTCTAGGAGTTCAGAGAGGGAGGAAAAGTAAGAGGGGAAGGGATAAGATTGCCAGGGTGGGTTGCATTTGCTTCCTACTGACCTCTGCTCTCAAGGTGGATCTTTTTGTGTTTGGCAGCCTATTGGAATGGGATGTCTTTTTGTGGGGTTGTGTGTGTGTGAGGGGTGTTGCCTTGGACCAAAGGAAGGTCATAGGTGCTGAATGAGGTTCGGGTAAGGGGGAGATCCTGAGGATATGTATTTCTGCATTGCGTGTTTCCTCAATACTTCTATAATCTACTTCTAGTCTTTGTTGCAGTTTCAGGAGAATGAGCCCTAAGACTGATGCCACACCCTGAAATAACAACAATGTACTAAGTAGTCTATAAGAGGGATCAACCTGCAAAAGAAAACACAGTGTTAGTAAAATCAGGTGGTTCATCCATAGAGGAATGGGACTATTACTGGTAGTGCCTCCATTTTGCTTTGCTCTAATCTTTTGGACATTTAATTCTGCTCCCTTTTCCATTCTTTTGTTAACCATATCCATGAGAAGAGGCAGAGGCTAGGTGTGTGGGGATCTGGATTCTGGTTGTTGCTTTGTGTCTGAAGGCTGGGGTGCCAATTTGGTCCATGTAAATTTGACCTCTGATATGATTGGGCAATTCAGAAATGGTGTTGTAGTGGGTAATGGTATTCATGTGATGGCTCAGCTTAGACAGTGAGTCTGCAGGATAGTTTGCCTCCCTATAGATGTGTCTAAAGGTGATAGCTTCACATTGCTGGCATGCTTGCTTGACCCTCTGAATATGCATGTGAAGGGTCCAGGGTGGGGCTGCTTCATTTGATAGCCAGTGAATTAAAAGGGCTGAGCCTGCTTCTACTTGGATCTTGGAGAATCCATTAGAAATGCACCACATGATGCCCAAGTATGCTGCTTCTGTTTCAGCTAGATTATTTGTACCAATGCCCAAAGGTGCTGTGATGGCATGAATGAATTCACCATTGTGATCTATGATGATTGCCCCTGCACCTATCTTCCCAGGATTTGTCAAAGCAGTCCCATCACTATTGACTTTAACAAATCCAGATTCAGGTCTTGTCCAAGCAACTTGCTGGACATTAGTGGGGGTGCTTAATGCCTTCAATGATAGAGTAGAGATCAGACCATTTAAAGGGCCATTTGATTTGCTCATAAGAACTTCTCAGAAGGAGCTGTACATCAGAGTTGATTGAGAAGATGACCCTTGCAAAGGAGGAAGTCTTCCCTCCATATTTAGCACTACACCTGTTCTTCCATAGGTTCCAGCTAACTATGATGGGGAGGGTGTCAAGAATCAACTTCTGCTCCTGATTGGTTCTTTTAACCATCCACCATTTCACAAGGATTTGACACAAGGATATGGAATTAAAAGATATACCCACAGGAGCTGTGTAATGCCTCCAAACAGCTCTTGCAAAATTGCCATTGCTGAGAACATGGTTTACAGTTTCTGCTGCAGGCTGAAGGCAGCATACACATTTGCTGACAATAGGAGGGCCAAACCTGGCAACTCTGTCATCAGTGGGTAGTTTATTTCTGAGTGCTCTCCATAATCCAAATGACCATTTGAAGGGGATCCTCTTGTGCCAGATGCACTTGTTAGTGAGGAGGACCTAATGTTTTTTCCTTATCACTTCCCAGGCAGAGGCACAGCTGAATTTCCGTGAAGTTGAGGGCTTCCAGATGGGAACATCTATACTCTGAGGGTTGTAATATATTGGGATTTGGATGATGTGAGGGATCATAGCTGAGGGGGCCACTGTGTTTAGTTTTTAAATGTCCCATTGGCCAGCATTCCAGAAGTAGGACACCTTGATGTTCCCAGGTCTTCCACTACCTTCTCTATAGCTGGCTAGGTTACCAGTTCCCAACCAATTATCCCACCAGAAACTAGCATTACCAGAGTGCAATCTCCACTGTATGTGATGTTCAGCTTCCTTTCTGTTCAGAATCATTTTCATCCAAGTTTGAGATTGGCCTGAGTTCCACTTTTTAGAAACGGGGTGAGATCTTTGGCAATATTTAGCTAGGAGGAAACTACTCCACAATGATTGTTTTGTTCTGAAGGTCCACCATTGTTTGAATTCCATTGACTTACACACATCTTCAATGGCTCTGAGCCCAATTCCACCTTCCTCCTGAGTGATGGACATTTTCTGCAATGATGCCCAATGATATCTATTTCTTTCTTTGTCCATTCCCCAAAAGAAATTTGCTGTGAGCTTTTCAATTTGCTTAAGGATAGTTTTGGGAGGAGAAACAGCTGAGAGTAAATGAATAGGTAATGACTGAAGAACATATTTGATTAGGGTTAACCTACCACCATAAGAGAGGAGCCTGCCATGCCACCCTCTAATTCTACTCATCACCTTGGAAATGAGGCAATTGAAGTGAATGATTCTTGTCCTGCCAGTGTATAGGGGGCAACCTAGGTAGGTTAGAAGTGATTCCTTTCTTGAAAAGCCAGTGATTTGTTGAATTCTCCTGATGGTGTAGTGGAAGGCACATGGGGCTATCATGAAGTGGCTCTTGCTTTTATTGATTAGTTGCCCAGAAGTGGATTCATAATCATCAAGAGTCTGCATGATTTTTTGAAGGGAGGAACTAGAACCAGATGTGAAGATGATCACATCATCTACAAAACTAAGGTGATTGACCTAGGGCCCTCTTTTCTCCATGTAGAACCCATTGAAAAATTGGTCATGAGTAAGATTGTTGAGCATTCTGGAGAGAAGTTCTGCCCCCCATAATGAACAAAGATGGTGCTAGTGGGTCACCTTGCTTTAAGCCTCTGGTGGAGTGAAAGAAACCACACCTAACACCATTGATGATCACAGAATACCAGTTGTTGGATAAGGTTCTCCATACCATGTCAATGATGAACTCACTGAAGCCCAATCTCCTCATCATGATACAAGTGAAATCCCAAGACACCCTATCATATGCTTTGGTCATATCAATTTTGATAACCTCATTAGCACCAATATTTGGCTTTTTGATGCCTTGAACAATTTCCTGGGCCAGCATAATGTTTTCAGATATTCTTCTGCCATTGACAAAGCCAGATTGGTTTGGAGAAATGATTCTGGGAAGAATAGGAGCAATTCTAGAACATATGAATTTGGATAGGGGTGTTCATGGTTCGGTTTGGATCGGTTTTTCCCTAAAAAGAAACCAAACCAAGTAAGTCGGTTTTTCAAATATCAGAACCAAACCAAACCAATTAAGTTGGTTTTTTCTCGATTCGGTTTATGTCGGGTTTTTGGTTTTTTCGGTTATTTGTCATTTTTTTTTAAATATAAGACATACACTACCAAACACATATTCCGGCGATCACATTTTCAACGTAACACTATCAAATTAATTGCCCTTTGAGAAATCTATTATTTACTAAGATATATTGATGATAATTGAATCAAATAGTGATGAATAATTTAAGGACTCAATTAAACATATATTATTTTTTAACACGAAATGGATTCTTACACTTAACAAAAGAAAATTACCAATCAAACTAGAATGTAAAGGTAAAGAACTATACTAAAAGTGCAAACTATTAAAATTTACCATTAAATTTTTGAAACTTTGTATAAAAATATACATATATATAGGTGTAATAATAAATTTGAAATAGCTACTCCTATAGTCGGTTTGGTTCGATTTTTTTTCCGGTTTTTTTCTGATTAAAACCAAAACCAAACCAAACTTTAGATTCGAATTTTTAAAATTACTAAAACCAAAACCAAAACCAAACCAAAAACGTAATACATTTTTTAGGTTCGGTTTGGTTCTGGTTTCGGTTTGTATTCGTATTTTTCGTAATTTTTAATTGTAACACCCCTAAGTTTGGATATGATTTTGTTTATGAAGTTACTCAAGCTAATTGGCCTAAATTCACTCAGGGAGTTGGGGAATTCAACTTTGGGGAGTAGAACAAGGCAGGCTTGGGTCATGTGTCTAGGCATAGAGTTGCCACAAAAAAAGGCAAGGACAACCTTGAAAAGGTCATCTTTGATGATTTCCCAGCAGTGATGGAAAACTTTACCATTTAGCCCATCTGGACCTGCAGCACTGGTGGGGTACATTGAAAACACCACTTGTTTGAGTTCCTCCAATGTAGGCTGTGTGGCAAGCAATTCATTGTCTTCAGGTGTGACCATTGTAGGAATACAAGAGATTAGGTCTTCCCTGATAACACCCCCAGGATCAGTAAATAGGTTTTCAAAGTGATCACAGGCTGCCTGTCCAATAGATTCATCACCTTATATCCACTAACCCTCCTCATTCTTTATTTTGTGAATGTACAACTTTCTTCTTCTTCCTCTGATCAGACTGTGGAAATACCTGGTGTTGGCATCTCCATCTTTGAACCACTGCAGTTGGGTCGTTTGTTTGAGGACTGACTCCTCCACCTTTAGGTGTTTGATGTACTGGGCATTGATCTCATTGAGGGCAGCTCTGTCTTCTTCCTTATTGGATTGAATCCATGCTTCTTCTGCTCTCTTCATTTTTCCTTCATATTCTTTGGTCTGCTTAAAAATGTCTCCATATTCTTGTCTTGACCACTTGCTCATAGCACTACACAGAGCCTTAATTTTCAGATGGAAAACTCTCATGGCATTACCCAGTACTGGGCTCTCCCAGATTTGTTGAACCAGAGGCAGAAAGGTGGCATTCTGAGTCCAGCAGTTCAGGAACTTGAAGTATTTTTTGGTAGTGTCAGGCCTTACATTCATTTCCATATGAAGAGGGGAATGATCAGAGCCTGCAGATGCCATGTGAGAGATAGTAGTTGCAGGGAAAGAAACTAGCCATTTGTCATTGACTAACCCTCTATCCAATATTTTCCAAACAATGGAGCATGGACCTCTACCATTTGACTAAGTATATCCGGGGCCATAGTAACCAAGGTCAGTTAGACCACAATCCTCAATCATGCTCAGAAACTCCATGCTTTTGTTGAGTTGGTAGGGAATGCCTCCTATTTTCTCTTCATAGAAGCAATAACATTAAAATCTCCAATTACACACCAAGGCACATTGCATTGGGAAGATTTTAATCTGAGAGTTTCCCAAAGTGGTTGATGGTAGGCTATAATTACATATTTTAGTCGCTTATTACACTCTAATTTACTGCACTTTAATTTAGTTTGCGCTTTAGTCGCTAGTTTCTTGCACTAATGGTGTATTTTATGCCTTGTAGGAGTGATTCCGAGCTTTGTAAATGTTATGGAATGAATTCAAGTGATTTGGAGCTTTAACGTTTGAGTAAAAGATCAAGGAATTAAGCCGGGATCGTGTTTGGGGGTCAACGGATGATAGTTAGAGCGAACGAAGACTCCAGTAGGCATATTGCGCACTGTCTAGTAATAGATATAACTCTTTGCTCAGAACTCCATTTCAGCTCCACAAAATATGGTTGGAAAGCTATCTCAAAGGTCTACAACTTTCATGTTTTACGTTGTTCCACATTCAGAAGGGAACAGGGTGAAAACTGCGCGAACTCTAGTGCGAGGTTAGCGCGAAGTCGCGCTAGTTAAGGAGCTGGAGGCAGAATGTCAAGGAATATGCGCGAAGTCATGCGCGAAGGATGCGCGAGCTCGCGCTAGTCACCCGGGAAAAGTGTCCTTTTTCACATTGGAGAAGGTATAATTGTTTGGGCCCAACCCTACTTGGTGTATATACATAGAAAAACGGTATTTTGAGGGAGGAGGACGTTTTTGAGAGGAAAACACAAGCACAGAGCCGCCGTGGAGGCCGGGTTTCATCTTTTCTTCCACCAACTGAGTCTTTTTATGTTTCTTTGTATGATTTGTTATTTTTCTACCATGTCTATGTGGAGCTAAACTTCACGTTCTAGGGTTGTGGTTCTTTCATGACTATTGTTATTCGGATATTGATTTTGATTTCTTGATTTATCATATTGGTTTATTTATTCAGTCTTGCACTTAATTATTTGATTGCTTGATCACCAATTGAATACTATCTACGAATCTAGAGTTGAACTCGAAAGTGGGAATTCTAGATTGCATATAGGATTGAGTAGAGCAAGTTCTTGAACCTGGGCCTCGGGGAACGAATTCGCGGTTAGGATAGACATATACCTAATTGCCTTGCTTGGTTGATTTACAGGAATTATAAATGCGTTCTTGTTGATTCTAATTCCATGGACATATAGGAGTTAGGTTAGCTTGAATAGGCGAGTAAGAACTCGACAGATTCTTATGAGCAATATTAACCCTGTCAACCAATAAACTAGATAAATTAGTTAGTTAATTCAATTGAAGAATACAATAGGAATGTTAGATAGCCCATAATCCTAGATCGTTTTCATTACATTGATATCATAAAAATCTGATCTTCCTCTATTTAAAGTTCATTATTTATATTCTTTATTTAATTAGTTTAGAATCAATTACTTCTAGGTTTAATTCTTATTTAGAAAATCAGGATAGTCTAATTTAGTTAATAGTTAATCACAAGTCCTCGTGGGATCGACATCCGACTTTTAGTCACTTTATTACTTGACGACCGCGTATACTTGCGTGTGCATTTGGCCGCAACAAGTTTTTGATGCCGTTGCCGGGGACTTAGAAATTAACTAGTCTACTAGGTTAGATTTTTACTTTTTGTCCATTCAAGTTTCTTTTTATTATTATCTTAGTTTAATATTTTATTATCTTTGTTGACATGGCTTCTTGGAATGAGAATTGGTCGAATATTTGTTATTCTTATTATGATGATCCTTGTCCATATTGTGGAGGACCTCACTGGTGGAAAAATTGTCAGAATGTTCCCGGGAGCGAGTTGTGCGCACAATCTCAATCCTTTGAGTGGAATATTTGTCATATATGTGGTGGTCAAGATGACCATTGGGATGGTTGTCCTAATTCTTATTATCCTTCTCAGAGCTCTTATTATGATCTTTCTTATAATGTTTGTGAGTTTGATAGGGGCAATGAAGTACATGATATGGAACGTGATGCATATTTTAGGGATATTCTAAGGCAAGTAGCATAGCAACATGATGAACTTAGAAAAGATACGAAAAGAATGAGGGCAAAAATCACAAGAATGAAGGCCAGTATGGAAGAATTAAATGAAGAGAGCGAGCACCAACAAGAAGAAAATTTTGAAAAAGAGGAGATTTTGAGTCCAACTTGGCTGGTGGAACAAGCTGAAAGATTGGAAATATATGAGGCTCAACGTGAGAAAATTACAGATGGGATACAAGACCTAATTGAAGGAAGAGCTAAACTGGGACAAGAGATCGAGAAATTTGGCACTGCTATTCACGACTTAGATGCAGATATGAGTGCAAAGGTTGATGCATGTAACGCCCAACAATTTAGTGATAAGTTATGTGAAGCTGAAAAAGATCTTCTAGACTAAATTGAGGAGCTAAAACGAGAATACCAATTATTAGACCAAAATATTATTAATGATGCCAAGGTTGACGAAGAGTGCGAAATTGAGGATGTCAAAAATAATACAATTTTGGAGTTAGAGCGTATTGGACCTCATTCTAAATATTTTTCAACATTATGTTTGGTTGGTGACATGGGAATTGATCCATTCGAGCATATAGAGGAGTCAATGGATGAGGAACGAAGTGTTTATATTCTGAAATTTGCAATGCCAAGGAGACAAAACGACATTCCTCACTTAAGGGCCAAGAAGTTCAAGATGCGATATCTATTGCTTGGTTCATTTATTTTCACACCACCGCCTCATGAACGTGACAGAAAAATTGATGCAAAATTGGGGGCGCAATTTATATCCTCAAAGTGGAAGGAAAAGTGGTGAAAGTGATGGCGTCATGCCGCGACGTTAAATCAAGCGCTTGTTGGGAGGCAACCCAATTCCATTTTTTTTGTTTACTTTTTTTTTATATTTTATTGTGTTACATTATTTTATTGTATTATCTTTTTTGTAGTATTATTTTTGTATTTTGTAGGAGTAAGAGCATGGAGTCAAAGCTAATAGGCGAGTGCAAAAGCGAGCATGTGTTTGAAACTGAGTGTGGGGTTCCCGCACAAAGGACTGTACCTGGGAGAAGTCTGAGTATCCCGTGAGCTGCTAATGCTTCGGCCTTTTGCCTACCAGGGAGTCTCTTTTACCCTCTTATTATTTATAGTGTGCATTGAGGACATTGCACAATTTTAAGTGTGGGGTGAGGAGATTGTATGAGTGACTTTCTATGCTATTTCATTTGTGTTAGTTTAATTGAATATTTTTTCTTAGAAAAACGAAAAAGAAAAAATTAGACTTTTCCCGACGATGGATCTCCTAGACAGTTTTCTTGAGGGATGTAAGTCTAAAGAGAAAGGACAAAAAGATTTTCTTTGTAGATAGTGTAGCAATTGCCCCTTGGTTTTTCTTTGTGCCGCGGTTCTTTTCCAAGGGTTTTGTTTGAACCGGGTGTAGGTAGTTTTTTTCTTTTAGAGTAGTTTAGGGAATAAAATGGAGGAAGAAAGATGAGATAAACCTAGGCGCCCTTGACTTGTTTGATAGTAGCATATTTAGGCTTTGGCATGTGTAGTATCTTCCCTATGATTTGAATTTATTGATGATGCCTTGCTTACTTGGATAGCATGTTTTATGGCGCCTATGTCTCATTTTCTTGACTTATGTTCACTTTGTGCTTAATGCTTAATATCTCGTGGCTTTGTGAATACTCAAATTTGTTGAGAGTTGGAATGGGATTGTCATTTAGTGAGTCATGTGCCATGTGTGGTGAGATTTTTGTGTAGTCTATGTTACTTGTGTCTAGAACTTGCCCGGTTTGTGAGTCGAAGCGAAATTTTAGGTGATGCTCGGTTTGAAAAATGATTTTAGGCTTTCTTTGACCTTTTTGAGCTTAATTGCTTATCACAAATAAAATTTGTCCCTAGTTAACCCTTTTGAGCCCGTAGACTTTTATTTGGCACCCACATTACAAGCCTACACCCTTTTTGTTCTTAATTGGCATTATTTTGATCCATTTTCCTCTTAAAGCACTCTAATCATGAGATGAGCGCTAAAAGAAGTAAGAAGGAACTAAGTGTGGGGTGACTTTTGAGTGGAACCAATAAAAGGAAGAAAGATGCACTTGTTTTTTAAAATAATACACCACTAGTGGAAATTGAAAAAAAAATAGAGATGAATAAATTGTTGTCTTGTTCTTGCTAGTGGGTATGAATTAATGTAGTGCTTAAAGAAGAAGGGAGCATTATTGGGGTGATATTGTTTGTGAAAGTGAAGTGGATTGAAGAATTTATGCTTAAAGTTGATTGTGTGATGTGTTAAAGTGCTTAGGAGGGTTAGTCACTATTCCTAAATATATCCTACCCGTCCCTTAGCCCACATTACAACCATGAAAAAGACCTAATTGATTTTAGATCGAGTGAGCCTACATTAGTAGAGATGTACATTAAGGGCAAGCCTATGGTACCAATTACATGCATGTGACTTCTTTTGTGAGGGTGAGCGATATTTTCTTTGATATATATGAGTCCTTAAAATATATTTGATCATGAGATTCGAATGTGTGGATTCAACTTACTCTCTTGCCTTGGTTGTGAGGGCACATTGTTTCATGAGGGATATGTAACGTTATTAGACTTCTCTACGACGTTGGATGTTCAAGCCAAGAGTGCATTGTGACATTGAGTCGATTTTTGAGGCTAGGATTGTTGTGAGCATGTTGTCTTTGTTGTAAATAATTTATAAGAATAGTATGAGTAAAAGGGAATTGTTGCATATGTTAGAGTTTAATTGTTGCTATCAACCATGGTCAT